AGAAAACTGGTTCCCACAGACCGTTCGATGGTTTATTTATCTATCTATCTCTCTATCTCTCTATCTCTCTATCTATCTATCTATCTATCTATCTATCTGACTGCGCGGGGAACTCGGCCTGCTATTTCTTGCCCGGCCGGCCGGCCAGTCTGTGTTGATTCCGGCCGGCCGGCCGGTTAGGCGTGTGTATGAGCTACGTCCGGCCGGCCGGCCGGCTGGACTCAGTTTAGGTTTTGGCCGGCCGGCCGGCCGCCTGGATAACTTTGCGTTGGCATAGTTTTTGGCTGGCCGGCCGGCCGGCCGGCCGCTTCGTTGGCTGGCTGGCTGGCTGTCTGGCTGTGCCTTCAATTGGCTAAGGTCTTGGCCGGCCGGCCGGCCGGCTGACGGCTGGCTGGCTGTGCCTCCAATTGGCTAAGGTTTTGGCCGGCCGGCCGGCTGGCTGGCTGCTTGGCTAGTTGGCTGGCTGGCACGCTGGCTAGGCTGGTGGGCCTAGCTACTTGGTTCCGGATATTAGTTAAAGTAAGCGCTAAATAGAATGTAAAGGACATGTTAAAATTCTGTACGCTTTTAGAAATCTCAAATGAAATATGCGATAGTATGACCGCATAAATGTTAGGTAGATAGCATATACGTTAGATAGAATGTTGAAAAATGGTAGACAGAGTAGGTGATAAAACTGGAATATGTGTTAGAGGAAATATGTTAGTGTTAGATAGAATGTTAGATTGAAGGTTGGAATTTATTTGGCAGCTAGAATGTAAAAACATTCTTCCCCAGACAGTGTGTCTACACTGAGGGGTTCTGACGGTAGATGCGAAGGTTTGTGCTTGATCAGGGTGGTCACTCTCTTCTGCGGCCTGTTACCTGTAAATTTTCGTATAAAGCGTCGCGTATAAAATCTTGACATGCATTTCGATTTAGCAGGCTTGCACAAAGTGTGGTCCGCGGGATTGGTCTTTGATTTCATTCATTTCATTTCATGCATTTCATTATTTTCGTTCATTTCAATCATTTCATTCATGTCATTCATGTCATTCATGTCATTCATTTCATTCATGTCATTCGTTTCATTCGTTTCATTCATTTCATTCACTTCATTCATTTCAGTCATTTCCTTCATTTCGTTCATGTCATTCATTTTTTCAATGTCATTCGTTTCATTCATTTCATTCATTTCATGTGTTTCATTCGTTTCAATCAGTTCATTCATTTCATGCGTTTCATTAATTTCCTTCCTTCCAATAATTTCATTTATTTCATTCATTTCATTCATTTCAATCATGTCATTCGTTTCATTCGTTTCATTCATTTCATTTGTTTCATTCGTCTCAGTTATTTCATTCATTTCGTTCATGACAAACATTTCATTAATGTCATTTGTTTTTTCTTCGTTTCATTCATTTCATTCGTTTCATTAGTTGCATTCGTTCCATTCATTTCATTCATTTCGTTCATCTCGTTCATTTCATGATTTTTTTGCGTTTCATTCGTTTCATTCATTTCATTCGTGTCATTCCTTTCATTCATGTCATCAATTCATTTATTTCATTCCTTTCTTTTGGTTCATTCGCTGCATTCATTTCATTTCATGTCATGTCATGTCATTTCATTGCATTTCATGTCATTTGATACATTTCATCCATTGCGTTCATTTTATTCATTTCAAGCGTTGCATTCATTTTATTCATTTCATTTATTTCGTTCATGTCATTCATGTCGTTCATTTCTTTGCTTTTATCCGCTTCATTTGTTTCATCAATTTCATTCAGTTCAATCATTTTTTCCGTTTCATTCATTTCATTTCATTCATTTTGTTCGGCTCATTCATTTCATTAATTTCACTCATTTCATGCGTTTCATTCATTTCATTCATTTCGTTCATTTCATTCGTTCCATTCCTTTCATTCGTTTCATTTGTTTCATTTGTTACATTCGTTTCATTGTTTTCATTCGCTCCATTCATTTCATTCATTTCATTCATTTCATCCGTTTCATTCATTTCATTCATTTCATTCATGTGTATCAGTCCATTCATTTGACTCTTTTCATCGTTTCACTCATTTCATTCATTTGTTTCATTTCATTCGCTTCATTCATTTCTTCGTTTCATTCATTTCAGTTAGTTCACTGATTTCCTTGATTTCCTTCATATCATTCGTCTCATTTCTTGCATTCCGTTTATTTGTTTCATTTCATGTCATGTCATGTCTTTCATTTCTTTCATTTCTTTCATTTACTTCATCATGTCGTTCATTTCATTCATTTCATTCTTTTCATTCATGTCATTCATTTGTTTCATTTCATTCAATTCATTCGTTTCATACACTTCATTCATTTCATTCATGTCATTCGTTTCATTCCTTTCAATCGTTTCATTCTTTTCATTCATTTCATTCATTTCATTCATGTCATTCATGTCATGTGTTTCATTCATTTCGTTCATTTCATTCATTTCAGTCATTCGTTTCATTCATCTCATTCATTTCGTTCATTTCGTTCATTTCATTCATGTCATTTCATTTCGTTTGATTTCATTTCATTTCAGCCATTTCAGTCATTTCAATCATTTCTTTATTCATTTCATTCATTTTATTGCCTTTATTCGCTTCATTCGTTTTATCCATTTCATTCATTTGAATTTTTTTTCGCTTCATTCACTTCATTTCATTCAGTTTATTTGGTTCATTCGTTTCATTCATCTCATTCATTTCATGCGTTTCATTCATTTTCGTTCAATTCATTCATTTCATTCATTCCACTCATTCGTTTCATTCCCTTCATGTGTTTCATTCATTTCGCTCGTTTCAGTCATTTCATTTCTTTCATTCATGTCATCATTTCGTTCATTTCATTCGTTTCATTCAGTTCATTCATTTGTTTCATTTCTACGGTTCATTTGTTTCATCCGTTTCATGCATTTCATGCATTTCATTCACGTCATTCGTTTCATTCCCTTCATTTGTTTCATTCATTTCACTCATTTCAGTCATTTCAATCCTTTCGTTAATTTCATTCATGTAGTTTATTTCATTCATTTCTTTCAATTTTATTTGTTTCGTTCGCTTCATTTGTTTCATTCATTTCATTTGTTTCATTCGTTTCAGTCATTTCATTCGTTTCATTCATTTCATGCATTTCATTCCTTTCATTCATTTCATTCATTTCAGTGATTTCATTCATTTCATTCATTTCAGGCCTTTCAATCATTTCATTCCTTTCACTCGTTTCAGTTATTTCATTCATTTCATTCATTTCATTCATTTCATTCATTTCATTCATTTCATTCATTTCATTCATGTCATGTCTTTCACGTCGTTCATTTCTTTCATTTCTTTCATGTCATGCATTTCATTCATGTCATTTGTTTCATTCGTTTCATTCATTTGAGGCATTCCAGTTATTTCATTCATTTCAGTAATTTCATTTTTATTTCATTCAGTTCACTCATATCAATCATTGAAATCATTTCATTCCTTTCGTTCATTTGAGTCCTTACATTAATTTCATGTGTTTCTTTGGTTTCATTCCTTTCGTTTGTTTCATTCGTTTCATGTGTTTTTTCAGTTCATTCGCTTCCTTCATTTCATTCAGCATTTATTTCATTCGTTTCAGTCTTTTCAGCTATTTCATTCCTTGCGTTCCTTTCATTCATGTCATTCATTTCATTCATGTCATTAGTTTCATTCGTTTCATTCATTTCATTCACTTCATTCATTTCAGTCATTTCATTCATTTCGTTCATGTCATTCATTTTTTCAATGTCATTCGTTTCATTCGTTTCATTCATTTCATGTGTTTCATTCTTTTCAATCATTTCATTCATTTCATGCGTTTCATTAATTAATTTCCTTCATTTCAATCATTTCATTCCTTTCATTCATTTCATTCATTTCAATCATGTCATTCCTTTCGTTCATTTCATTCATTTCATTTCTTGGTTTTGGTTCATCCGTTAGATTCGTTTCATTCGTTTCAATCATTTCATTCAATGAACTTCTTTCATTCGTTTTCACTTGCTTCATTCATTTCATTTGTTTCATTCATTGCATTCATGTCAGTCGTTTCTTTCATTGCATTCCTTCATTTCATTCGCCGGGCTTGGTTTTTGGCCCGCCGGCCGGCTGGCCGACCGGCTGGCTGCCACGCTGGCTGGCTGGCTGTCGCTTGGCTTCAGCTGGCGCTTCAGCTGGCGCCACGGCCGGCCGGCCAGCTGGGGCTTGGTTTGTGGCCGGCCGGCCGGCCGGCCAGCTGGTGCTTGGTTTTTGGCCCGCCGGCCGGCCGGCCGGCTGGCTGGCTGGGTGTGAAATAGCGGGCCGCACCAAGCTCGCAATCTGAAATCTATCTATCTATCTATCTATCTATCTATCTCTATCTATCTATCTATCTATCTATCTATCTATCTATTCTATCTATCTAATTTATCTATATATCTATCTATCTCTTTATCTATCTATCTATCCATCCATCTATCTATCCATCCATCTATCTATCTATCTATCTATCGCTCTATCTATCTATCTATCTATCTATCTATCTATATCTTTCTATTCTATTCTATTCTATTCTATTCTATTCTATTCTATCTATCTATCTATCTCTCTATCTCTCTATCTCTCTATCTCTCTATCTATCTATCTATCTATCTATCTATCTCTCTATCTATCTATCTATCTATCTATCTATCTATCTATCTATCTATCTATCTATCTATCTATCTATCTATCTATCTATCTCTCCCTCTCTATCTATCTATCTCTCCCTCTCTATCTTTCTCTCCCTCTCTATCTATCTCTCCCTCTCTATCTATCTATCCATCTATCTATCTATCCATCCAGCTATCTATCCATCTATCTCTCCATCTACCTATCTGTCTATCCAACTGTCTATCTATCTCTCTCTCTATCTCTCTACCTATCTATCCATCCATCCATCCATCCATCTATCTATCTCCCTCTCTCTACAGGACCCCCCAAATAGGGGGGGTCGGCGGCACCCGGGCGCTAGCCCATTCTATATTTATATAATATATCTATATACACGTCAAACACAACTGTGTCATCACCTTTATCACAGCATAGGTTCCAAATGCGGCTGGTGTCGTTACAGTCGCGACATTTCGTCATCTTTCCCATGCCTCCTGCACCAACTGTTTGGTCGTGACACCAGCAAATTGCTCCTGAAATGTGTTGACACAATGTGTCAACGAAGTGACACAAGGGCACTGCAGCACAGTGAGAATAGTGAGATTTGGTGTCACATGGTGTCACTGATTCAAGGCGGTCTCGGGCCGCGGCACTCGGGTGTTTTGGTGGCCTGACAGGTACCCTGCGACACTCCTTTCTTGCCACAGCTCAGTTTGATAGATTGCGTAAGTAGTAGTAAAACATAGTAAAACTACGTAAAACTTGTAGATAGTGGCAAACATACTATTAGGAACACACCAACATTACAACTGTTGCTGTAGTGATGACTACCGCATATAGTGATGACTTTGGCATACTCCCATGAGAACCACGATCTACTGATTGTTGGCCAAGGTTGAAAAACAACCGATCCACAGTCCATCCCGGGAACTCATTGGACGACACATGACGACACTGTGCACAAGCTGCACAGGCTGCGCAGCCTGACTTGCCCTTCAAAAGCAAGTCGATGAAGGATCTGGTTCTGCCACTTTGTTGTCTGGTTGATGCCTCTCGGGATGCGGACATAAATGACACCGTTTTCCATGGCATTTCAGCAAAAATGGCGATGTGTTCCACGGCTGCAGCTATTGGATTGCTTTCCCTGCGAGAATCGGGTACCATGGTTCAACACACTTTTTACTTAGTTACTTCATGTTACTTCTTATATTTTCTTACATAATCATCATATTTTCATATAATCTTACATACAGTTCTTCCAGTTCACCCAGTGACCTCCCGACACGGGCCTTTGAACATCTCATCTCTTTGGGTCCACAGGTACGACACTTTGCCGCTGCTGAAGCCAGCACCACCCCAGAGGTACAAATCTGCTGCGTGAACGAGATCAATCACAGTTGTAGTGTCGTACCTGACCATGAAAGCAAGTGATGCAAGTGATACAATTTCAATTACAAAACACGCTGCACAAAGACATCAAAGTGCTTTCAAAGACTTATCATAACTGACCAGATTCACAGCAAGTGCTTTATGAAGGCCCTTCGCTGCGGTCTGAGTCGCAAAGAACCGAGGAAACCCAGCACCACGCCCTTCCTCAAAACGCCGCACCCATGGAATCTGGTTCCAGATGTTCCAGACAATTCTGGATTGACTCATTCCGGCCCTGGAACAAACATGTGGGAAACAGCAATTAAAACATGGTGGCTTAAAACCTTTCTGCAAATCACAACGATCAGATACGATCAGTTTAAAGTTTAAAGCTAAGTGGCATTTCTGCAGCGCTCTCGCATTCCATGAGCTCATTTCGCTTGACTTGCAGGGTGGCAAAGGCCAAGTTGATCAAGTAGTCGCGGCCACCCTAAGGATTGGCAGAAAATAATTGAAAGACGTTCGATGCTGGATTCAAACATCATGTTTCGGTGCTTCAAGCATGGCAATTGCTGATCATCTACTTCAGTTGGATCTATCATTAATTCTTGGGGTTCACCATTACTTTCTTGTACTCTGGCAGATGCAAACTGGAGTAGAAGCTCTTTACTTTTAGCCAACAAAGCAACTCCGCAGGAGGTTTACGCTTGCAGCAGTGTATCAGCTTGGGCCTCACATGCGACCCTGAAGACAGGTTAGAGTTTAGACTGCTGTCTGCAAGTGGGACGCCCCTGGGTTGGTGAAACATCGATCATTGCAATGCAAATTGAATGTCTTTGGGGTTTAAATCTGATCAACTTCGCAGCACCAGAACGCCCTGGGCGCTCCGTCCCGGGCATCCGTCCCGGGCATCCCAGCCAAGGACTGTGTCTTTGGATTGGTGGACTGGAAGAGGAGAGCATCCCAGAACCGGAACACTGTGGCAGTTGGCATCAAAGTCGCATACCACCTCATTCCAACTGACGAAGTGGATCGAAGTGGATCGAAGTGGCATGGTGCGTGGCTCTGGGTGTGTTTTTGAGGAGTTGCGCGATTTGCGAGTGTGGGTCCAGAGGTTGGCAAAATTGCATTCTTTGTTTTGCAGTTTACACTTGTATCAAGGGCACAAGAATCTGTACTATATCTCTGACCAAGCCTTTCCTAAACCCGTTCGTTTCCCGACGTTTTCAAAAGTATAGAAAACAGCCTAAATGCGGCACCTCATGAAAGCGCCGTAAAAGATGGTCGACAACTCGAACCCCAAAGCGTTCATACCTCAGCCCAGCACAAAAGACTGCCGCTTTTGTTCAGCCAATCAAGAGTGCGATCATTATCATCATATGATCAGCACACAAATTTGTTCCGGACCCTACCATGCCTAAGCTCAGTGAAACCTAACTAACCCTCATCAAAATAATCATTCGAAAATTCAATGCTCAAACCAGTGAGGGCCGGAAACCTGTTTGCTGTGATGAAACTGGTTGGTTTACACAGCATCTTCTAGATCCTGGATGAAACTGATTGCTTGTTGAGCCATATCCTGGATGATCTTTATTGTGTTTTTTTGATTTTCTTTGAAACCTGCTGTTCCGGCCCAATCGCCAGGCCTAGAAAGCCTGTTCTTGGAATGGGCCACCAGGAAAAAGATCCGACGTACTCCTACCTTTCTGAAGAGAGCACAAGAAAAAGAATCTTTCACAAATGCAGAAATCTCGCCTCATTGGCTGTGTATTTATGACAACATGAATTTTCTCAACACGAACAGTGCCACCAAGAAGCGAAAAAACAGATCGGGCTCATGGTATGCCACGCAACATTCCAACAGATTCACATCCTGGAGCGACACCGTTTTGACACCCGGTTCAATTCTGAATTTGTTCTAATATATATTGCGAATAGGCTATGGTTCACCTATCGTGCTCGTAGCTGACAAACTTGTAGCTGACAAACTTCTCCACCAACTTGTAGCTTGAGCCAAGCGGCGGGAGAGCGAAGCATGTAAATCTGTTGCTTGCAGGAACATCCTACGGTTCGGATTTCAATCACACCCCCCATGCCCGGCGTTCCCTGACCATGGTCGTCGACCTCTGGCCAGGGCGCCGAGCACAGGAGCAATAGCCAGGTAAAATAATTGGAATCTGTACACGCTCCATTCCGCCATTAATTCGCTCTCTTGTATACAAAATCGTCATCCGCGGATCTTTCTATTCCGGGATTGCGTACTTGCCATGGCAGACATGCCTCTGGCGTTCCGCGCACCCTTTGAATTAAATCCTTGGTTCATATGCCCTTCAAAAATTTGTTCCCTTGCACCAGGAAATCTTCGTATCCTGAACGCACAGGGCTCATATGAATTAGCCCGGCACTCAGAGTCCTCTCAGTAGTGTTCTTCAAAACGTAGGCCTAGAGGATCTCATCCTTTGCGCCGCTTCTTCTTGGCATCGGACTCCTTTGTGCTCGCTGAAGCCCGTTCTTCTGTGGGTTGCGCATCGCCAAGTGCTCGAACGTATTCTCTGGCATTTTCACGTTCGGCTGGATCAAGTGACCTCAGGCATGTTGCCATCTGTGTAGCGCTTTGTTGTACGGCTCTGAGCTTCCCTTGCCAAATCCTTTGCAGTTGTTGGGGTAGTTTCAGACCGATCTTGTTGAGCGTCACGAGGATGGTGAAGGTCCTGGATCTCTCTGTCACTGCGCATGCTAACTCCACAGGGTCGATGTGAACATGATCGTCTCGTTGAGGTGGTGTGACTCTGAAATAGTCGTAGGATCGCACAGCAAAGGCACCGGAAATGATCTTTCTCACGAAGTCAGATGCCTCTCGTCGAACCTCTTGTTGTCGTTCTTCGTTCTCGTCCGTGATATCGGCTACCTTGGAGAAGATGAGTTGCGGAGTAATCCCAATCTGAACGAGGTATTTCATGATCTTGCACAGCACTCGGATGCCGTTCACCCCCTTCAGGTAAACTTCCAATTCTCGCCCTCCAAGTTTTCCATTCTTGGCGTTGGCGTTGAATGATGCGACCAACTCCTCTTCCGTAGGTTCCTTCAATTCGCCCTTCTCAGTCTCGCCCACATATGGAATGTATCCATCGTATTCTGGCACGAGTTTGACCCTCCTGACGTGGTCGTAGTATTGTTGCGCGGGCGCCATTGAAGTCCATAGATGATAGGGTCTGTATCGATCTTTTAGGTATGTAAGAATCATACCATCAATTGCTCGTGCAGTGCTGTCGATCGCGTCCTCGTTCTGAGCAATGTCGATGCATTGGATGATAGAAGCCTGGATTGTCCTTGCCGTCCACAACGGTAGTTTAATCCTCGCTTCACGTCGTTCTTCATCTTGCTCTTGCTCTTGGGCCTCTCTTTCATCTTCTTCCTCCTGTTGTTCCTTGGTGTTGTTGCCGAATACGACCTTCTGATCGGGAGCAGTTCGTTGTCGCTCACCTTCAGATCTGGTCTGTTCACGACTCGGCTTCGCATCTGTCATGTCAACATCATCGTCTTGAGCCTCTCCAGTGTCCTTCTTCGACTCCCTGACCAGTCGATCGATCTCGTCTTGGTCCTCATTCTCCATCTCGACGTCTTCGTTGTTGTCACCTGTGCCATCTCCACTTTCTTGACGTTGTCGTTCTGGCATGCCCGGGGCGGTGCTTTCATCTTGTTCAGCTTCTTTCTCCCCCCAGCTAACCAACGTTCCGTGGCACCTGATGCAAATGGATAGAATTTTTGGAGTCTCAGTTAGACATGCTGGGCATACCATGTGTCCAGCTTCTCTTGGAGTGTAGTTCTCGGAGATGAACGTCACGATGTCATTCCTCAGCTCGCTGTTGGGGCTGAGAACCCCATTGGTTGATTCAAGCTTTGCAACATCCTCGACAAACTTGTTGTAGAACGGAATGTTGTCATCGCTGCTGATGTCGTTCAGCAAAGCCTTGGAGACACGTAGCACCGTGTTCGCCGTCGCAATCTCCTTCGGTTCTTGACAAGATCTCACCAATTGGAACTTTCCGGAATCAACTAATAGTCGTTCCCATTCATAGGTGTTGGCCTGGTACCAAGCTGCGATCACTTCGGAGAAAGGGATGTTCCCACTAACCACCATTTGTCCAGATGCGTTAATCATGACCCCAAGACTCATGAGTCGATGAACGCTGAATGCAAGGACCATGCGGGGCTGACCTAGGTGTGTCAATTGTCCTCCCAGGATCTCCCTGTATCGCTTGTCCCATGGCACAAATGGGTTGAGGAACACCTGTGTTCGTCCTCCTCTGTGACCTCCAGGTCGTAGGCCTTCTTTGATGATGCCGATCACATTCTTGAACTCGGTCACATGGTAACAGAACCATATGTCATCTGCGATCTTGGTCGTGATCGGGTGACAAATCTTGCTGTAGTCAAGACGAAAGTCGCTTCCACGGGCCGAAAATCCTCCAGGTGAACGCACCGCAATGGGCGCTAGGAAGACTTCACCTCGTTGTTCGATGAGCTTGTGGATGTCATCGCCGACTTTCATGCATGACGTTCTTGAGGTAGTCGTCAGGCTTGTCGAATGTGGAATCAAGAACAATGCACAAGAACTGGATGCGGACTTTGTTCTTTTCCTGAAACTCTGACCAAACGGTTTTGATCATGGTGTTGACACGCTCCTCTCTGAAGTCACTGCCAACAAGTCCATCATCCTCGGTGCGGACGTTCTCGTGTTCGAAGATCCATGGGTGGTGCAAGAAATCCATGATGTCCACCCAACCGGCTTCATCACATTTAAGTCCGGAGAATGTTGTTCTCCTTCCGCCAGTGGTTCTCTCCCACACTTCGTTCCGTCCGATGTGGTGTCTCAGGGCCTTGTTGAAGTAGTCCCTCCAGTTGTACTCGATTCGTGTTGGACTCGGTCGGCAATGCATACTCCACTCCAGATCCAGCGTAGCTGCTAGAGTAGAACTTGCCGCCGTTGACCGGGAGGATTTTGAGCTTCCCAATGTCGGTGCCGATCGCGAGCTTCTTATACATCTTGTTGTCGGAGACCCCCATAGCCGATCTCATCTCTTTGCATGTCATAGTGATGCCCTTCTGACTTGCCGTCTCGACAATGTTGTTCAGCTCGTCCTTTGTCATAGGGCCCTTCTCTTCGGCTTTGACTCCGTTGATGCTCTTTTCACCATGAGCTCGATCTCCGATCACTGACAATGGGATTGCTTGGAGATACATGTACTCTCCTGCCCTGGTTGCTTTATAGTTCTCTTGGCGGAATCTTTGCTCCTCTTCATCATCTCTCTTGGGAGCTTCTTTCTCTTCGACATCATCGCCTTGCAACTTCTTTCTCAAGTTGATTAAGGCAGACTTCACTTGATCACTACCTTGTTCGGGACATTCATAGTTGGGGTGACCACTTCCACCACATTTCAGGCAAACGTTGTTGTCGTCTGCCAGGGCAAAGAGCGCGTCAATGGCCTCGACGATGGCACCCTTGTCCTGAGATATCTGGAATTCCTCCTCAGGGTTTGATGGAGACTTGGTCGCGTCGTGCATGTCCGGAGCGGTCGACGAACCTACTCCTTCGGCACTTGCTCCCACGCCTCCGGCCGTCGGTTCCGGGGTGGTAGACGTACCTTCCCCAGTTCCTTGACCGTCGGGCTCCATGTCGTCATCGTTGACGTCGCCGGCCTTGGATCTCTTGTAGTTCTCGTTGATGACGCTGATCTCCTTGTCCCCAATCAAACAGGCATACTGTAGGCCATGGTACATCGGGATGTCACGTAGGATTGAGTTCACCACGGCTTCTTCATAGTTCGTGGGCTCGGTGACTCTTGATCCACCGGAGTTGTGGTAGATCTTGTCGTTCCATGGAAAATGTTGATCGATGCTTCCAGGCCTGCAAGAAGCTCGCCCGGATCGGCCTTTGTCTCCATGAACGTGATCTGGGACTTCGTCATGTTGGCCAAATCTAACATGCCAAGCCACATTTCGACCACGTCGCCGCATTTCTCGGCCGTCGCATCGGCATAGCCCATGACCTCCGTGAAATCATCTCCGAGTACCATCTTGAGGTAGTCCTTGTAGAAGACATTCCCATAGTCCTTTGTGACACGATATGCAAATCGTTCATGGGATTCTGTGCCATCATCCAGTGTGAACTCTTCTCGGATGACACCATATTGTCTTCCACGTTTCCCAGTAAAGATCTGTTTGACGCGATCTCTGGGAACTCTGACCATCCCAAAGTGTGACAAAGCCTTCATGAGGATCTCACCGTGCTCGCATCCCTTGTTGCCCACC